TGCGTCTGCTCCACGGCGAATTGCATGCCGACATGCAGGATATGCGGAGAGGGAGGCGGACAGGCGGCAGTGGCAGGGGCAGGGGCAGGGGCAGAGAGGGAACATCCAGCCTCAATCTGGGACCGCCATTGATTACATAACAATGGATAAGCATTCTATGCCCATGCCAGGACACGATATACAATGGGAGGGCTCGACAACGGAAACCCCATCTGGTGCGGATGCTAAAGCATTTCGCATCAAAATAGTAATGAAAGTCATTCATATGTTTGGGTTTTCCATTTTCCCTCTTCTTTTTTTGTCTTCTTTTGTTTTCGTATTTTTGTTTTTGGTTTCAGTGTGTGTTTTCCATAGAAGTTCCGGCAGGTCGCGTGGTAGGCATAAAATTTATTGCATACTCTTAGGCGTTGCACAGCAGATAGTGTTCGGAATGGGATGGGTGTACGTGAATACTGTGCAGGGTGGAATATAGAGTACGCAGTAGCGTGGCTGCTGGGGCTCAGTCTGCTGTTGTTCTTCGGATAGCAATTAAAATGAATGGGATTTGGTTGTTTTGTAAAAGAAGTCGATTTAAGTTTTAATAGCCCGTCCTGCTAGGATTGAGATGTGTTCTTAACAAAGTTGATGAATTAAGGAAAGCCGATGGGGAACAGAATGGATATTAAGGATTTTCGCTGAATCGATGTAAACTTGAGATTAAAGGTTCTGAAGGAGCGTTTCAACCTATTTAATGGAATGTTTATATGTTTGAATATATGACCAATGCCAAATTACTATAGAACTGGCAGAGACGTATCTTTCAGCGAGTCAAATCCATTTCCCATCGACATTTGCAATTGCTGGCCAGTGCACTGGCTGGAAAAAATAACCCGACCTCAGAGCCGTCAGGCAATGCTTGACTTATGGCTGTCCAGTTCGGTTGCAATTTGACAAGCGAACATTACTCAAAGTGAGGGCACAACTTGAAGCGTGGCCAGGGTCAGGACTTGGCTTTTCCCACCTGCCAGGCCACGCACAGACACCCTCCGCACTCGCCCCTGACAGTTTAGCTGTCATTAATAAAGAGCACTGGGCACAGTGCCCATACCCTCACCAGCCATATGTGGAGGCCCCGCATAATTGATGTGTTTTTGTGAGTTATGTTGGAGCCCGTCGACTGAGCACTCTGCTGACTTGCCGACTTTCCCGGGGACCGATTCACAGGGCGCTAGTCCTGTCCTACGAGTAGAACCTGTCCCACCCTGTCCCGGTCTGGTCGCTCTGAAGTGTGTGCGTGGCGCGTGCTATCGGACCGGACCAGCTCCGACGGGGCCGGGGGGTGCCACAGGCATCTCCGATTCCGCCCCGACCACCTACCACGAACGACGGACGCTTGTTTGTCAGCGCTGAGTGATGACTTCAAATTGGCCATCTCTGATGATGACGGCATCTACGTGTAGCCTTTGTATCTGATGCCCCATAACATGGGCAGAACACATGTGTGGATGTCTCGAATATAGTTGAATATGATGTGAGTTCCACTTTCGCTGTCTTTCCTTTGTCTTGATTGTAGCTGAGACTCGCATGTGCGGTACATGTGGCACATATGAATGTACCTCGGATGTGGAATTTTTTGCGGTTTTCCAATTTTTAAAATACAACAAAAATGTGGGAGAATTCAAATTCTGACTTGAAGAGACTAAAGGAAACTTGTGCAATAAGTGATAAAAAGATTTCTCCATAAAAAGATTTTTTTGAGCGAAAAGTAAAACTCATTTTTCAGTTTTTTTCTGGTTTTAAACCTTTTTAATTATTACTTACAATTATTTATAATAAATAATAATACTAATAATGTTAACTAACTAATTTAAACTTTAAAAACTATTTAACTATCTAAGTGTGTAATTTTTTTATCTACAAAAATAAAAAAAATAATCATTGCTTACGGTCCCTGATAAAAATATTACAATTTGATTTTAATAGTTGTTTTAATTCTCTCAACTGGAACTCGAGATCGCGGAGGTTCTTTAATAGATTCAATTAACAATATAAATGTATTATTAATATCAGGGTCTTTTATTTTAATTACTAAAGTTTTCGGTTCTTTCTTAGTTAGAGAGTGAAGCACACTGTAGGTTTCTCGATATTTCTGCTCACATGCTAATTGATTGCAGGGCATACTCCAGACCGTTGCCTCCTCTTTAGTCAGCTTGTCTTCCCTGCTTTTCATGATAGTGGCTTCCACACCATTACCAATTGCTCAGGTGTGCTTTATCCCTGACCATTTGACACTATTCACACACCTCAACGATATACACACCCTCTCCATACTGCGGCTTTTAGCCGGTCTTGATAAATGATGGGCAATTTGTAGGCGCAGCTTTGTTAATAGAAACAAATTGCCGGCCTTTAGCTTTATTGCGATGTTGTGTGGCAGTAGTGCGATGGTGAGGAGGAGGTGCGACGATTAGTGTTTCTTATTTATAAAAATTATATTCGTACATTTTCTGGCAAATTAATTATAATTGATTAAAGGTGTGTGAGCCGTGCGCTTTGTGCGCTCTGCAATGGCGTTCTAGTCAAATGAGAGAGGCAAACGCAATTTCATTTAAATATAATTTCATTTTGCTTGAATACCTAGAGAAGGTCGTTTTCCCCACACTTAAAACAGAAAAAATAGTAAAGGACCACTGAATTTTGCTACTAAAACATTCAAATATTTTAAAGCTCTATATCATGAAATGAATACCATGCAAATTACACCGATTTTTGATTATAAAATTGGCTTCTTGTACACTCGCTATCTATACCATTTCTCTGAGTGCACCCTGAGAGAGCGACCCTCTGTCACTCTGCTCTGGCTTTTCATTCTGTTGCTGCATTTAATTTCATTTAATTTCCAGCCACGCCCCACATCACATCATTTCTGGCTAGTCATTTCGGGAATCCCCCACTGATCCCATTCCGCCTCCTGCAGCTCCTTCTTCTCCATCATCTTCTGCTGGCTGTTGCAATGCACGCTTTTCACTTTTCATGAATAATAAAGTGAAAGTCTAGTTAGTTTGGCGTTTTTCAGCTCACTACTCGACGGTGGCTTTCCGACTACTGCTTGTGCTCATGGATTCAGCTCCGACTCGACTCCGTCCCATCAGAGTACCCTCACCTCGCCTCCTCACACCTCGGCCACACTGCACCGTACAGATGTAATTTCGTTCCATACTTTTCCGAGCATAAAAACTCTGAAAAGGCGGCACCTCGCAATTGTTTGGCCTGGCTGGGAAGGAGCTATAGAGCTGTAGTGCTGGGAGGCAGGCAACTTTTTCATTTCCATGTTTTCCGACTGCACTTTCTGCCATTGTTGTTGTACGCCTTATTGTGTTCTGTATTTAATGAATAATTTTTAATAGTTTTGCTATTGCTGCAAGCTGCATCTCGCAGAAAAAGGGGGGCAGGAAACATTCCCGTCGTGGAGGTGGATTAATTTGCAGGAAAAACTTTCTCAGAGGATAATAAGAAATAATCTTTTGACTAATTTATTGAAAAAGAATTATACTTATTCGCTTTGCAGATGGTAAACAAATCAAAACTGCACTGAAATTGCTCAATAAAATATTTTCTTTGCGAATTTTATATTACTTTGAAATTATTTTGGAACAGCTAGGAGGACAATTAAATTATAAAATTTAAATTACACTATACGATACTAAAAATTGTGAACATACCTAGCAAAGAAGTGTTTTCATTATAAAGTACAATTTGATCATTAGCCTTTAAGCGTAAAACCTTCATTTTGAGTATCGGGTATAAAATGGTGGTTTTGATCATTCTCCATGTCTTTCTAATAGTTGTTCAACATGAGATAATCAGACAGGCTCCGTTTTTCACATTCAAAAAAATTTTCCAATATACTTTTGAATACACATAAATTGTGGCTAACATTTTCACATTCTGCAAGATTTATTCGTTTTCAAAACGAAAACATTTTCGTTGACGAAATTAAAAGTAAACGGCATTTTATACAACGAAACGAACCTTAATTGCAAAAGGAATACCCTATATCAGGGGTAACTTTTGCTTTCTTTATAAATAACTTTATTAGTTGGTTGGTTGAGGTTGGGTTGACCTCAAATTTGGCTCGGAAAAAATTGGCCAGGGCAATAAAAATTTTCGTTTTGGTGTAAACAGCAAAAACTTGTGAAAACTGGAGAGCCTTAAAACGAAACGTTTTAGCTGAACACGTAATCCGCTAAAGTAATTGAAAAACGGAGCCTGCCTGAATGTAATGAATTTAATAAGAACAAATTTTCAAAAAGATATGTTAAACATGTCCTACCTAGTCCGACCCTGAAGCCTGTCGTATTTCGTAGGGTAAGAAATTCCACTTTTGACCACATTTCTTGGAATATGCATAAATAGATCATAAACTCAAATTCAACAATGCAGAGTAGTTTGTTACCGTACTGCAACAAAATGGATTATATGCAGGTGAGTAGAACTCAATGTACTATCATATTCAAAGAAAAGTCATTAAGGACGAAGAAGGCAGGCTGCAGATCTTGCAGTATCCGAAGGAGAAACATTAATTTATTGATTCAAGGGAAAGCTTGGCCACATGGCGGTATTTGCAGGCAAATATGACTTCTCATTTGTTTTAAGGCTTGTATCCTTCTGCCCAGAATAGGCTACATTAATTCGCAATGCTATACGGCGAGGCCTTAGTCCTGCGTTTCAAAGCAATGATCAGTATTGCGAAATAAAGGATTAATCAAAGCGGAAAAATTCAAAGTCTTCTAGATACAAGATGAAGTTATTTTAAATGTAATGCTAGAGCAAGGCGCGCAGTTTTTGGCTGCAGATTTGACTTCGAGTTATGGTTTTGATGCTAGCTCAGGCCAATCCTCAATCTATTAGACTTGGGGCAAAACCATCAGATTTCGTTTCCAATATTTTAAGTATGAAACTTTGCTCAAATTTAAAAACAATTAAAATACCAATTATGCCTTCTACACTGCTGGATTCGCATGTTTAAATTTATTTTGATCGCCGGATACAAAGCACTCTTAAAATCTTGAGGATTGTGTTGATAAGTCATTCATGCTAATTGCCGATAAGTGTTGAAAAATTTAAGCAATTCTACCATAAAACTGCGGATTAAAATATTATTACTCAATGTCATCATCCACTGATCTTCTAGTCACTATTATTCTGAAGTAATCTGTTTACGATGTCGGAGAAGGTTCCTTAAATGAAGGAAGGTTAGACGAAGAGGAAGATCTTCTGGCTGTATCTAAGTAATAGACGATACGGAGGAGGATTGAAGAGAAGAACAAAAACCAAATAAAAACCGACAGTAAAGTAAGTGAACTGTTGGCCTGATGTAATCTGTTCATGATGTCCGTGGTGGTTTTGCAGTTGAAGGAAGTTCAGACGCAGAGGAAGATCTTCTGGCGGTATCTAAGTAGTAGACGAGAACGAAAGATTCGAGGGAGGATTGAAGAGGAAAACAACAACCAAATACAAACCGATAGTAAAACATGGAAACTGCATAGCAACAAAATGTATATGGTACAGTGGTAAACGGATAGTGTCGACACTGTGCTATACTGTGTGGCGGGTGGCCGCCTCTTGCCATCTTCGTCGATTCTAGCACGGTTTCTTGCACTGCATCATACCTGCAGCACAGTATCCGGGAAACTGAACGCACTTCAGGAAAAATTCAGCAATACCCTGGAATGGATTGTTATGAATTTTCAATTTATAGCAAGACTGCGGCTGTGGCTATTCCTGAATGAACTCACTTCGCAGCAGTCACTGCATTGAGAGAACATATAAGTCCAGATATAGAAGAAGGCCCCGAAAAAGGCCACAAAGAACGACAGCCAGAGCAAGACAATTAGCCAGAAAAGGAAATACAGTGGATTCTTCATTGTCAATTTTGTGGGTATATTTGTCTTTGTTTCGAATACTGAATTCCTGAAATTCTGACACAAGTATTTTTTTACAGATTAAACAAGAGCTACTTGATTAGATAGCTTGGAAAAACTATTTATTTATTTATTTTTCTCGCCCTCAATTTTATTCTTCGCTTTTTGTGTTTCTTATTCTATGCGCTCTCTGCTACTGGAGTATATTTACATATGCGTTGGTACTGACGGTACAGCACAGTGGGCTTAAGAACTAATTTGTTTCAAGCAATTACAGTGGTTTTAAGAACTAAAAGTATATGTCAAGATGTACAACGGGATGGTACTGGTACAACATTAATGAATGTAGTTGGTCATGGCATACGGCTCTAGAGCATTGCTTTTCTGAAATGAAAAACTACTACGAGTATCAGCAAACTCTGGAGCTAAGCAGGGCGTATTTCCTCAATGAGGGAAGCATAGAGCAAGCGCATGTACGATGTGAGCGACCCAAGTGCCCAGGCCCAGGTTCTGCGTGCAACGAAATTAGCGCCTTGAGGATATGGACGACTGTGTTCCATCGTAGGCCTACAAAGATACGATCACTTAAATCAGCAACGCCAGCATGGCCATACGGCGTAAGAAATTGAACAGCCATATTTTCGATACTCCTTTCCGAGAATACACCGCAGTTTGAAAGCAAAGCAACGCTATGGTCTACCGATCCCGGATGTGCCAGATGCAGCAGTACAGCCGGAGTGCAAGCACATCAACGAGCTGGGTCATTACCTGTGGCGGTGTCTGCAGCGAGCGAATGTTTCTGTTCTTCCTCTGCGGTGCAGGGCCGACATACTACTCGCTGAGAATACGGTAGCCGCGGCCTTGTTGCTTTGGGGAGGCGACACTCTGAAGATCGTAAGAGTTCGATGCGCGATCAAGAAAAGGCAGATGACTCCGAGCAGAAGCTACAGACCAATAAGAAATTGGCACCGCCTGTCTACAAATATGTGTCCATGCAGCCCAGCTTGCTCTCAGAAGACTCAGATACAAGATACAGAAATTTACTTCACGGTTGCGATGATTTTCAAGGATGGTCGTCCTCTAATATCTAAAACCAATAACTGTTAAAGGAAAAAAAAAAAAAAAAAAATGCATGAATATATATTTTTCATTACTAAAATAAATTCCTTTTTTTTAATTACATACAAGGCACAGTCCATACCATCGAGAAATATCGTGTGATAGAACTCTTTCAACCGAGTCTTTTTTCCAAGATCGTGGCTCCAAGTCTCCCTCCCCTTCGCATTAACCTGCAGTTTGCATCCATAAAATTCAATTATGTGTACTTCATAACTTCACATTCATTCCTATTATGCTTTGTGCACTTTGACTTCAGCTCTGAGAGAGCTGCATATCTCTCCCTCTCAACCCCTATTGTTGCATAAATCAAGGCGAATTTCACGCATACAAACAGTGCAAAGTGTGCGTAACGAGCGCTTCAATTTAAGAGAAAGACTTTCGGTTTTATTTTTGGTTTTTCTCCTCTGTTTTCGCTGCGATGTGTGTGAGAACAGGCAACAAATTCAATTTTTCATTTTGAGAGCAGTCAGATTGCCAGCTCTCGGTCCTGCCCACTCGGGGCGCCGCCATTCCAACAGTTTGGAAACACTAAAGTTGAATTACAATTGCAGTTTTTTCTGCCTCTCTGTTTGGCATTTTGTTTTGCTTCATTTTTGCCGTCGACTTGGTGTTAAGAGATTTTTATGTGCCTACATATTTGAAATGCTAAAGTGATGTATGGCACCCTGGCCATACTAAAACTCTTTTCTGTTATTTTTTCTGGAACGTACAGACGTACGGGTATGAGTATGTGTGTGTGCACGTGTATGAGTATGTGTGCGGAGGAATGGAGGGATGAAGGGTGCTATAAAATGTCCATTAAGCTTTTCGAGCAAACCTGCTGAAATGCACTTTTCGCATTCTAAACTGCCAACAGGTTCACTTGATGATGGCTAAATGGAATGGAGTTGGTCTGAAGAGCTGCTCGCGGCTACTTGAACATTTGCAGGATGAGAGAAAGTGGACTTTATGGAGAATGAAAGAAGAAAGCTCCACTCAAAACAATTGCGTAAATTGTCTGCATATTGCTCACCTTTTTCGTCACGCCATTGCTCGCTGGCTAATAAAAATCTATTTATTTCGCTCTTGTAAATCACAATTATGCTGTCATCTATTAGTTATTAATATAGCTTTCCTTGGCCATTTATCACACACACACACTCGTATTCCTCTCGAAGATTAATGATTGGGAAAGTATCCCCATAATCAAGTGATTTAGGTCTGCTCTTTGGGTTTGCTTTCGTATTTTTTCCTCTGCTTCTACTTCGTCTTCAGCTCTTCGATTTCTTTGTGAGTGGGTTTTTCCCTTGTATCTTATGTTTTGCGGAAGTAGGAGGCTTGGAGGAGTGTCCTTCAGCAGACACAAAAACATCTTGATTTGTCAATATTTTATTTATTGCCCATTGTGTGTAATTAGAGCAGGCGTTTTATCGTTGATCCATGTTGTCCTCGATTTGGTCTGGGATTATTTTGTGGCCAAGGGCAAATTGTTGTGTGTCTGTGCCTCGGGAAAAGTTAATTTGAGTTACAGTCTTTGTTTGTGGCAGAGATATGTGCGTTTTGTTTGCATCTTTAACTGGAATATTATCAGATACCATTAGGCATGATAGAGGGTTGATAAAATTTCTGAGAAATGGTACGGAGCTCCACGAATTCGATAGGACGTTGCCTATTCAGTATGCTTTCATAAAGTATGATGCAAACATGGAAACCACAGGACAACAAGATTTCTCATTATTTTTGTTTGCGAGTGAGTGGGCTCTTTTATCCCTTTAATATATGGATTTTATTTCTAATTAATATTAGTGGTTAATAAGCCAAGCGACAACTTGTTTTAACTGAGTAGCGAAGCGGCTATGACTCGGCGGTTCGAGGCAATTTCGACTAGCTCCACTCCACGCAAAGAAGTTGAGCCAAAGATCACGCGATGCAACGTCGCGACGGTCTCAATGCCAACACGGAATCCATCGCTGTGCATGTGAGAGCGTTACAGTTAGTTTCATACACTGGCAATAACAACACAATTATGAGCATGCTTCAGCGTTTATGTACAATGCTTGACATATGAATAGGGAAAGTGAGGATATGAATTAATATAATGAGTTAATGAATATAAAACAGAAAGATGGGCAGTAAATTTCCCAACCCTGCAGTATTGCTTCAGAATCAATTTATCTTTCGTATAAGTTGTATCAACTAAAAGTGCGTTTTCGTATCAACGAAAACTTGGTCTGTCAGTTATATATTTCTTTTAACAACAGTCACAGAAAAGACCACTAAATCGGCTGCGAGAGTCCAATAAAACAAGAGTCAAAAGAAAAACGCTATCTAGTGAATCGTTTGTGGGAAGAGCGACCCCGACCTTTGACCAGACAACCAAACAATACCCAGACGCATTCAGCTAGATGACCCCAATGGAAATAAAACGCATACTTTTTGCAACATTTGACTGGACTGGTGATGCTCGTACCATCCCCCTACCCCACGTAGTCCGGACCGGACCCCAGTGTGGACCACTGAAACAATCGTGGCGCTTCAAAAGGACATTCGCTGCAAGTGTTGCGCGCTGCAAACCGGTGCGCTTTATCCTGGCCTGGACAATGTTCCCGACACCCTGCTCCTGCCTGCCGCCATGCACATAGTTGACGCATTTATTGTTTTATTTTGAATATCCTTTGACTAAGCTCGCTTCGTTTTTCCCCCCCTCGAATGGACATCTGGCATTGTTGTCTGGGCTGATTGTTTGCGGTCCGGGCTTTGGCTAACTTTGGGTCTTGCATCCCAAGTGTTATGCATAAATGTCTATAATTTAAACACGAGCATTATGCTTGCCTGTGTTATTCTCTACTTCTTATCTGCCCGATACCGACGCCGACTCTTCTTCCCAGCGGGAGAGGGCTACAATTCAATTGCGGGGGATAACGCACACTGAGACAGTAAGACAGTGAGACAATTGCATTTCTCTGGTACTCCCAAGTGTGCGGACCGAGTCCTCGTCTGCCTTGTAATGCAAGCCAAACAAATTGACTTGGCTCTAAATTATACGACACTCAGTGGCGTAGCCAAAAGGGTTTGCTTTTCAGCTTGTTCGTTTCAGAAAGGAATTTATTTTATTTATAGAATGGGTCAGCGATTCACCGAATTAAGCGGAAGAAATGAAAATTGTATTTAAAACTAGAGGCAAGCTCACAGCACACTCGCTTCACTCATGCGCCAACCCCGACTCACTCGCTTCCCTTTCCCAATACTTTATTATTTTATAAAAAAAGGATTTGGTACATTTGTAATCATGGAATCAAGATAGATGAAATTTCTCTGTAAAATTAACTATCCAACGCAAGACCCCCTTTTGAATGTGTGTATTTCGCTCCACTGACTTCAGCTCTGTTTATATTTCTATATAGTGAGTGAGTGGCCAAATATTTGAGTCTTGGTATGTGTGAAACAGTTGCACTCTCCCCTTGGCTGACACACACATGGAGATGGGGACTAATTTGGAAATCAGAATTGTCATATCAACAGATGGAACCCAGCAGGTACGGAGCACAGAGTACAGTCGAGATTGCTCCAGCTGCTGCCTGCTCATAGCGCCTCACGTTAATTGCATTGAATCGGGGCAGGTTGAACGCCTTCGTTTCGGATTTGCTCCATTCCCACAACCCCACTGCCATCGGTGGTGTAGGACCCTTGACTGAACTGTCTAATATGCTAATTACACTGCAGGCAACAATGCTGAGGGGGCTTTGGGTCCGCATCGACTCCATGGCTCCATGGTTTCCCTCCTCTATGCCCCATACCCCATACCAGAAGTGTACTCTTATGTGTGGGACTGCAATGCGTTTGGGTCGTTCATTTTTGCAGGGGATTTGTGCAGATTGAGAGACGTACTCGTACTCGTAGTCGTACTTGTATAGGATCGGTCTGCTGCCCTCTTGGCCCCTCTCTTGCTCTGGCTCCTCTGTCTGGGTCTAAGCCGCTTTAGTGAAGTGCCATTTATACGAGTTCAAGAGTGTGTGCCTCTATCTCCCGCTGTTGCCCCTCCCTCACTCTGCGTCTGTCTAATTAATTATACTTTTCAATTGTATCGCAAACAATGAGCATGACATTTGCCACTCCCTTCGCTTCGACCTCTGCCCTTCCTCCCTTCTGACGATGCCATCCTTCTGTTGCGCTTACCCATTTCAGTTAGCCGGTTTCGGAACTCTTATCTATGTGGCATACTTTTTGCCGCTTCTGCCTTTCGACACTCCAGCCGAAAGTTTCCAGCGACCCCAATTTGAATGCGTGTGTGTGTGTGTGTGTGTGTGTGGGTGTGTTTAAGAGCGGCGGAAGATGGAGGGAAATTTGCATGCGACGCAGATAAATGTTTGTCAGAGTCGCTTATCGCAATTTTCGTTTCCTTCACCACCACAAGGGAGTATAAAGAAGAAAACCCAAAGTCTCATTGTGAAATTAGTTAAAGTTTCTTTTCGAATAGATTAAGCACATTATATGAGAGTTTGTTTAGGTTGTTTAACTGCGAGTGGAAGCATGCCGATATTCTTTCTATTCTGGTGCATTCATAAGAGCTACCAATATATCCTCATTCACTCGGAAATTCCATAACTTATTGTCAAAACTTCATTATTATATTATTAACAGAATTCTTAACCCTAAAAACTAGTTCGCCCACATACGCAACTAACTGTTGGTATCCATATTTAGTATCCATTTAAGTACAATAAACAAATGTTCACTGCATCGGGCATTTACCGCACATCTAAATTGGAGATCCCTGCCTCAATCAGCCATTGACGGGCACTTGATTCCCGCTGCCCCTTCATCTGCTGTAACCGAATGCGGTCAATTGTTTGTTATTCGGCAAATATATGTTTATGTCCAACGTCGGTATGATAAATGCAAATTTGATATGCAATACCGCAGCTGTCAATGATGGAATAATATTTTCTATCATTTTAAAATGCGGCCCCAAGCCAAACAAATTAATCGAATCGCCCGAAAATGGGCGTGCTATTCCGCGATAGCTGGAATAACCAAATGAATGCAAATGAAATTATACCATAATGTGTATATTTTAACTACAAAATTAGTTTTTATAGTATTTCTTTTTTTTGTGAAATTTATATATGTGGAATAATTTCAGTTGATTGAGTTTTTATACCCGATACTCAAAAGGAGTATAGGGGTATATTAGATTTTCAAAAGCCGAGGCGATAGAGCAATGTCTGTCTGTCCATCCCGATTAGCATCTATGTAGATTTCAGAGACTGTAAGAGCAATGGAAACCAAATTTGGTGTCCACACTCCTGCGATATTCCACTGTTCTGACTTGTTTTTCTGTCTCTCTCTCACACATACTCTGTCGTTTAATGTTTGTTCCCTCTTGCGAAGGGAGCCATACTGGCTAAGTATCGGGTATATATGTGAAAGCAACTCACAACGTTTTCGCTCGTTTTAAAAAAATGTTCATTAATTTTTCAAATTTTCATTTGATTTATTTCGGTATTACAATGACGATTTTAAGCTCATACGAGTTTTATTGGCCAAGTCAAAGATTCGTCCACTGTCTTCACTGTTAACTAGCCATCAAAGTGAAGATGCTCTGTCCTTGGAATGCGCACAATGTAGCATTTTAGCGAAAAAATATACGATTTCTATTAACGGTAGGACACTAAAATTATTGACTGAAACAAGTTAGTTAGCTTGCTACATGTACATTTTATTCAAACTATTTATCAATTATTATAGAAACTAAGCTTATAATAGTACTGGTCATGTGAAAAGTGTATATGCTGGTTTTAAACACATAAAACAATCTAAGTAATTTCTTAAACGGCAAAACATATGAAAAAAAAGCCGTGAAACCGTGGAAAAGACATAAAGAATGTCTTATTACATATGTAAATGTAATTTCTTATGTTATCCGAATGCCCAAAAATAAGAGCAATTCACAATTTATTGAAAAACTTCTATGTTCATTATGCATCTATGTTCGAGAAAAATATCACCTCGGCAGTGGGTCAATCTTAGGCCAATCGAACCCTTGTGGAACTGAGCGTTTCCTTCACAGCAGCTGAGACTTAATTCATTTTATTAAAACCGATTCGCTCCTCCTTTGGGACTTTGGGGGAAGCCAAAGCCAAAGACAAAGAACCAACCAAAAATAAAGGGAGAGAACCATAAGCCAAAGGAACACAAATGCAAATGAAATCGTGCGTAAAATGCGAACAAAGGAAAATCGTTTGTCGTTCCATCTCTCGTCGCAGAGCAAAAAATATTGCAAAATACATGAGAGTCAATACGTAACATATAGATACGACGAGTATATATGTATGTACATACGAGTATATGAATATGGAAATTGATGTATGAGAAAATTGCAAAGGACACGCAAAGCATTTTGTTCTTCCAGATTGAATGATTGAGGATGGGTAGCAAATTGAGAAATTCGAATTGGGATTCTGATTCTGATTGAAGGCTGGGTGAATGGCTGGTGAGTGGCCTGGGGAACCCTAACAAAATGGGCTTTGATTTCTGCACAAGGCAGAGCAGTACAATTGAGCAGTAATAAAATTTCGACGGCTTTTTGCAACCTGATGGTCTTCTTGCCTGGCAGCTACTTTTAGCATTCAGAGCTGGCGCTTTTTCAGCTACTTTGCATAACTAATTGTTGCTGGCAGTGGCAGGAGCCTAAGTGGCAGGAGCTGAAGCACAAGAATTTCCTCATCAAATTACATATGTTCAATTTCGACATATTATTGCCTGATTTGCATATTGGCTTAAAGGAAAACATTCTAAATCAGCTTTCCGAATAATTTCAGGTGTGCTCAAAGTTATTTATCTTGATTATTTATTCCTATTTATTTATTCCTTATTTATTTATGCCTAAGTAGTTTTTGTTTAATGTGCATCACCAAATGCTGAAAAATGTCATAACAATTGGTAGAAAATTCTATATTCTGCATTATAAAAAAACACACACGTCTTCAAGCTTCTAAGATCAACAAACACATTAACAGAATCCACAACTAAAAGAACTTGTTCTTCACCAACTTCTTCAATTTTCAGTAATTTCATCAAGGAAAACATTCTCCCAGCATACAGCGAATTTATCTCTTTTCCACTTGTCTGTTTTATTTTTAAGGAGCAGGAATTTTAATTAAAATTCGCGACTTCAATTTGCAGAATGTTTTCTTCCGCAAGGTCTTTATGTTTTGGAAGCAAACAGTCGCTATTTTTTTTGGCAAATTGTCACATAATTTTTCAAGTGTAATTTAAAATGCATTTTCAAGTAAATGATGTGCGGCATTTTAATTAGCTCTTCCCCAAGCAAAACTAATTCAATTTGCACTAGCGGTAGAGCAAGAGAGAGGACAACTACCAGAGGAAGAGAAGTCCTAACACAGAAATTGGCTGCATTTTCCAGTTTTTTTTTTTTTTTTTGAAAACTGAGAACTTCAAAGACAAGTCAAGATGGTTGGTTTCTTGGCTGGTTGAAACGACTTAACGACTTCTGCCGCCTGGCATACAAATTAGTTTTTTTCCGGAACGAATGCTGGCGAGAGAGATTGAAAGCGGTGTTGGGTAAGGAAAATTTCGCTGCAAAGTTTTTTTGGTTAACCGAAAAAATTAAAACATCATCATTTGGTGCACTCAGCCAAAAAGTCAACTCTACTCGAACTTGACGCGGAGTCAAGTCAAGTCAACTCAACTCATCCCGACTCGACTCGACTGAAATCGGTTGAAGTCCCTGGGTGTGATGTATGTTGAATTTCAATTTCGGTGGCCTGTCACGCCGGGGCCGTGCCCGTGGCCGTGGCCGTGTCGGTGGTTCATACATATGAAAAACATTAAGCATACGCACGGTTGCACAATTTTAAATGGCACGCGCAACAAGCCGCCAACAAATTTCTGCCTCCGAGTAAAATCAAACCGAGTTAAGAATTTTTCTTTATCTTTTCTGTTTGACTAACCAGCCGTGTACCCTGTGAGTCGGCAGAGGGAGTGGCGGATTAGTTAGATTCTTGACATCTCTGGCCCCTAGTGAGTTCCCTGGTGTGTCTCCGTCTTCTTTGGCTAAAAGTTTTCCCCAGAGAGACTGCGACGTAGACTGTGTCTCATGTGACGTTAGCTTTCAAACATGGAAAACATTTGTGGCTTCTTGCTGTTGCTTTTGGTGTTTGTGTTTCTGTTTCCAGGCTGTTCAGGTGATTCGCAAATAATCAAGAAACTTTTCGTATTAATTTGAGACGAGTTTTTCTTTTTGTGTCCCGAGTTGTTGCCTCTTATTGACCTCAATTTATGCAGACCACGTTGGCTTCTGGTCTCGACTAGGAAACTAAGAATTTGTCCAGGATTTGCTGGTGAATATTGCTTGTGGTTTGACAACAAAACCCTGTAGGAAGAGGAGGTGGGAGCCCATTGTGTCAATTAAAACTTGGTTTTGTCGCCAAGCTGAAAAATAAAATATTTTCAAAATTGTGATGACACCTTCTCTCAATTGGTATTTATTTTTGCTTCTACCCTTAGGATAGAATTAGAATACAAATAAAAATATAAAATATCATTAAGAACCATATTCTGGTTGTTAAATACGGTCTATTTATCTGCTGTCAGAGCCCACAATATGTTCTCCGGTACGCATTGAGAATAGTGGAGATATTCCTCGTTACACTTCGTCGGGGACTGTCCTGTGTTCGTGTAATGCATAGGAGCGTTATTTAACGTAACCAGCTCGTAAGCTTCTTTACAGCACTTGTAATCAATAAAGTTCTCGTTACAGTATCCATGTGGTATCAGGTTTGACTGGATTCCGGGCCAAGTGCACTTCCCGATCAGTTCGCGAGGCGCTTGGGAGTTGCTAACACCGCCAAGATCTTCTTGCGGCTCAGAGATGTAGCCCCAAATATAAATGCCATCTATTTCCCCTCTCTGATAAGATAAGTCGAAGTCGTAGTCGAAGCAATGGTAGCCGAGCCCCCCTCGCCCAAAGGTGAAGCATTTGAAGCTCTCTCCCGCTTCGGCACTGGTGGCATTCCAGTCGGCAGAGCTCGCTGCGGGCGGATATAGGCTCCGGCTTAGTGGCGGAGGCGCTTGTTGTCATCGGGCATACACTGGAAGGGACTTCAAGCGCTGAGTCCATTGATTTGGAAATTTATGTTAGCCGAGAAATTACCCAGGAATTCGTTGCCTCGACTGGAGTACGTCGGATCGCCTAGAAGCACTCTCATGAATCGGGCCCTGTCGGCTTCGGCCTCCTCGGGGCTTGGATGTGCTCCCAGAGTCCTCGTCAGGCGTAAAGCCAAACTAGTTTTTGAGAAATCTTATTATTGCGCCATCCGCCGCAGGTGATAAGCCGCTCGACGCTCGATCATTCTAAATGGCCCATCAGGAAAATAAATTCGTGTTTGGAGAAGTAAAACATCCAAAAAGTATTTATATTTCACTCTCATAGTATATACTACAATGTGGTACAGTTTGCAGGCAAACAACAACCAATAATAATCTATTATCTTTGGAATATTGGCTAATATTGGGCTGCATAACCCAACAGGAGTTGCGCTGAAGATCTGAAAGGTGGTTGGTGGTTTTTTTAATGCTGAACGTTCTATGCTTTCGACTTAATCATATTAGTTTTCTTATTATTTGAGCTCCTTCAATCGAAAATTATGAAAATGCATTCATTTGGGTTCTTTGCACGACTATGACTATCCGATTACGCTCACATTCATTTAATGGCCTAAGATCTTAACAATGTATATTTTTTGATGATAAGAATTTATCTGAATTCTGAAAGACGATTTATCCAAGTCACATTCAATGCTTACAACTAGGGGATGTTCTTAATTAAATAAATATAAAATGAACTAGTTGTAACGTTGCGTGTCGCGGCATTATTCGGTACTCATCCGTTTATCTTTATCTTTCAAATTTGGAATGTCAGAGATGTTCGTCGTTTGTTGAGGCGGAACGGGGCTGGTGAGAGACTACCCGCGTATCGGGACGGAAGAACAGACGGAGAGACAGACACATAGACAAGAATATATAGCTGAAATCGCATCATTCATCCACATATACCACAAAACTAATATATCTTTAAACTCTTCGAGTACTGGGTATAACAATCCTAGCAAGCATTGCTAGCAATCCTAGCATATCAAATCACTTTCTATCTAAATATTTTAACACCAAGTATTTTTCACCCTTTTTTGTAACACGAAAACTTCCTGACATTCTGCCTCGATTTCTTCAGTACTGCATAGCGATTCGGTTGATCGAAATATAGAAAACATTCACAACTACAGGACCTGCAGCAGCTCAAAAGGATCAGAGGGTTTTCCGATCCTCCCCAATCTGTTCATCGTTTTTACTTGATGGTGAGTTTAAGCCCAGCTACTACGTATCCCCACTTATATAAAGCGCTATAGAGACTTCTGTAAGCAGGTTCTTGGGGGTGCTCTCAAAAAACTAAACTATAAATTAAATCCATATGTACATAATTAGTGAAGGTACCATAGACTGGTATGGATTTTTACGCAATTATTAAGATATATTTGTAACCGTCCCTTAAGCTATCATAGTAAACCCATTTTGCTGCCACATTTCTGATCTATCTAATAATTATGCTCTTTGAAGTTGCAGGAAAAGTGGTCTAAGCCATAAATCAAAAAGCTGACGATCAACTCAGTTCGCGTTAGTATTCATATTTTGTATTTTTCGACTATGCTATAAATAATCCTTATTTACTTTTATACAGCTCACATCGACACATATACATATACAATCATGAGTTCGCGACTGCTGATGGCCCGGTCAGTGGTGAAGAGCGTGAGCCACGACCTGATCGGCCGTCTGGTTTTGAACCAGCGGCATCTTGCATCGATCGCCTGTGCCGACGCCCATAAGGGAGGAAAAGGACTCGTCCTGGGGCTGTACGAGAAGGAGGCGGACAGGGGGCCACGTCTGACGCCAGCTGGCGAGAAGATCGACGACCGTCTGAACGGCAAACTGAATGAGCTGATATGCGAGACCAAGATCAGTGGTCGCCTGGGGCGCGGCAAGGTTTTCAACAACATCGACGAAGAGTTCCAGTCGGTGTGCGTGGTGGGCGTTGGTATAGAAGGCATAGGCTTCAATGAACTGGAGATGCTCGACGAGGGCATGGAGAATGTCCGCGTAGCCGCAGGCGTGGGTGCCAGGTCGTTGCAAGAAATCGAATGTATTGAGGTCCATGTGGATAACATGGACTACCCGGAGCAGGCGGCCGAGGGCGCAACCCTGGCCATTTGGCGCTTCGAGGAGAATCTGTCCAAAAAGTTACGCTCGATCCAGCCCAAGCTGGAGTTATTTGATTCGCCCGATACTGACTCTTGGACGAGAGGCCTCTTCAAGGCGGAGGCGCAGAACCTCTCACGCAGAATCAGCGAGGCTCCGGCCAACTGCATGACACCCACCGCTGTGGCACAGGTTGGTGTGGATATGCTATGCCCGTGCGGCATCACCGTGGAGGTGCGCACCATGGAGTGGATCGAGCAGCAGCGGCTGCACTCCTTCCTGATGGTTGCCAAGGGGAGCTGCGAGCCTCCTGTCGTACTAGAGCTCGCCTACTGCGGCACATCGCCCGAGGACAAGCCAATCTTGCTGGTGGGCCAGGGCTTAACCTTTAATTCGGGCGGAATCAATCTGCGTCCATGCAAGGGCATGGCTGAGTTTCGTGGCGATGTAAATGGAGCTGCTTCCATTCTGGCGGCCATGCGAGCGGCTGCTGGCTTGTCACTTCCCATCAACATAACGGCCATCCTCCCCCTCTGCGAGAACATGCCCTCTGGCATGGCCGTCAAGCCAGGAGACGTGGTCACCCTCCTAAATGCCAAGACCATGGCAATTCGAAATATGGACCGCGCTGGCGTAGTGGTCATTGCGGATCCCATGATCTATGGCCAGCAGACATACAAGCCGCGACTGGTTGTAGACATCGGATCCATGTGCAAGGGCATCAAGAAGGCCGTGGGCGGCGGTGCAACGGGTATCTGGTCTAATTCGCACTTCGTCTGGAAGCAGTTCCAGAAGGCTGGGTCACTCACCGGAGATCGGCTGTGGAGATTCCCGCTGTGGGACTTCTACAAGCGCCGGGTGGCAAATCACAGAAGTTTTGATCTCTCCAACGATGGTGATGGGCTTGCCTCGTCTTGTCTGGCGGCTGCAGTGCTCCACGAGCTGGTCCCCTGCTCCGATTGGGCTCATCTGGACACGTTTGGCACAGGGCTAATGTCGACGTACGGCCTGATACCGTATCTCCGAGCGGGCCAAATGACAGGACGCCCCACTAGAACTTTGGTGCAGTTTCTATACCAGTTGGCGTGTCCCGGCGAGTAGGTCGGTTCAGCTCTTGATTGGATGTATATTTGTTTTTTAGATTGTTTCTATATTTTACCCGAATCGACTTATTCTGTCTGATACGACAGAGCAGACAAGTACAGAGTACACAGTGAATGTATGGCAGTATCTAATGCAACAGACAAACAAACATACCACAGAAAAATCGATGTAAAAGTAAATTATTAGTTTTTGACCTAGCACAAATTTGATGCAATTGTTTTAACTTGGTTTACTTATAATATTTTGTAATTTGGAATTTTGTGGTATTTTTTGTTAGTTTTAGTATATCTTGGTATTTTGTTTGCCAATAAATACTACATATACTGCCATAGAATGTAGAAGAAAAAATGGAATATAAAAAGAAAGAGTAGGATTGTAGGTGTATGTCCTTGAATGACATGTGATGTATCATATGAAAGGTATTGAATCGTACAATTTTTATTTTAAAAATTAAAACAGTTACGGTCCCTGTTTTCAATGGAATAACGCTTAAAGCAAAAATTTAAAGTTTCCTCTTTTTCATTTTCTTTTGGTATTATACCACTAGGAAGAAGATATATATATTTATATATTAATTAATATTTATGCAAAAATTAGAATAAACAGCAATTTTAAACAATTCTATCGTAAAATCAGTTCATGCACATATCTGTCAAATATCAACTACGCTACTTCTTTTCTAATATTAATATTAAAAAAATTAATATAATATAAAATATTAATGTAGAGTATTCGTTTGTCCCCTTTCCACTGACATATGTACATTTATTTGATTAGCGTTTTAGAATATTTTATTTGTTTTTTCCGCACATGTTTTTTATTCCGCTACATCTTTCGTTCTCTTCTCACACCGTTGCCAGCCGCTATATCACGTTGCCTTCCGTTACAGAGCGCACACTGCACGATGAAGAGTGTATGATAGAGAGAATGAATAGATTAAACTTTGCTTCGTCAACTAGAACTTTGAACCATACTGTACAAACTTGACCATTAAGTCCAAAGAATTTGTAATAAATTATATTCGAATTTTGATCAAGTTAGCTAGTAACACTAAAAATATCAGCAGAGCAACGCAATTTAGGAAGAAATAAATTATATAGTTAACAAACTCTACAAAAAAATATAACATAAGCTAAACATAAGCATTTAAAAATAAAATACATTCAGTCAGAAAATATAAAATACAAAAAACACAATAACAAAGATCGGTTCACTGTACTGCACTTTGTGCTGCGATGGATAAGTTAATCATATTGCTTGAAGGCAAAAAAGTATGTGAACTCCTTGTGGCTAGCGCATTACCATAAAGTAGAAACACTGTAGCGTTAGGAATCTGTAATATGTATGCATGTATATATGTATCAATGTATTTAAAAAAAAACTAAACTAATCATGTGGAAGGAGTACGAACTGATCGTGATTCTGGAATCTGTTAGATATGGTCACTCTCTATGGTTCTGCGTTTTTTTGGTATCTTCAAGCTACCGGGTATACAAATAACAACTGCACGACAACCGAAGAATATTGCAAATAGAAATTGGCGTTTACAAATAGTCCGTCAGTATCCATACCTCCAACCAATTCAAATACATTTCTCTTTATCGATTTCAATGAATTTTCATTGATATTCCTGCTTTTTGAAGGGTTCCCTTGTCCGTTTCCCAGGACGCGTGTTCTTAAATCTGGAATTCATCCATGGTGGTTCGGTATCTCAATCAAAATCAATTAACGCACCCAACGTTAAGCTACCGATTGTTGCCATTTCATTTCCTCTCAGAGATACACGAGGTCTCCAATTCACCAGATGGCCTTCCCCCACTCCTGAGCTACCCTGGAAAGCATTTCCCCACTC